TTCTAACATGTCACATAAATCCTGTGTCCTTGTGTAGCTGATGGTGATGCCCCTCTCTAGATTCCCTTTACTCTGCTAGAGCATCTCTCCCAGCTGCTTTCTTTCTTTCTTTTAATTGCATTTTAGGTTTTGGGGTACATGTGAAGAACATGCAAGATAGTTGCACAGGTACACACATGGCAGTGTGATTTGCTGCATTCCTCCCCTTCACCTGTATCTGGCATTTCTCCCCATGCTATCTCTCCCCAACTCCCCCCTGCTCACTGTTCCTCCCCTATTCCCCCCAACAGATCCCAGTGTGTAGTGCTCCCCTCCCTGTGTCCATGTGTTCTCATTGTTCAACACCCGCCTATGAGTGAGACATGCAGTATTTGCAATTGGCTTGCCAGTATTTTATTGAAGATTTTTGCATCTATGTTTACCATGGATATTGGCCTGAAGATTTCTTTTCTTGCTGAGTCTCTGCCAGGTTTTGGTATCAGGATGATGTTGGTCTCATAAAATGATTTGGGAAGGATTCCCTCTTTTTGGATTGTTTGGAATAGTTTCAGAAGGAATGGTACCAGCACCTCTTTGTATGTACATCTGGTAGAATTCCGCTGTGAACCCATCTGGACCTGGGCTTTTTTTGGGTAGAAGGCTCTTAATTGCCGACTCAACTTCAGACCTTGTTATTGGTCTATTCAGGGTTTTGACTTCTTCCTGGTTTAGGCTTGGGAGGATGCAAGTGTCCAGGAATTTATCCATTCCTTCCAGGTTTACTAGTTTATGTGCATAGAGTTGTTTATAATAATCTCTGATGATGGTTTGAATTTCTGTGGAATCTGTGGTGATATCCCCTTTATCGTTTTTTATTGCATCTATTTGATTATTCTCTCTTTTCTTTTTTATTAAACTGGCTGGCTAGTGGTCTGTCTATTTTGTTGATCTTTTCAAAAAACCAGCTCCTGGATTTATTGCTTTTTTTGAAGAGTTTTTTTGTGTCTCTATCTCCTTCAGTTCTGCTCTGATCTTAGTTATTTCTTGTCATCTGCTAAGTTTTGTGGTTTTTTTCATCTTGCTCCTCTAGCTCTTTCAATTTTGATGATAGGGTGTCGATTTTAGATTTTTCCTTGCTTCTCATGTGGGCATTTATTGCTATATATTTTCCTCTAGAGACTGCTTTAAAGGTGTCCCAGAGATTCTGGCATGTTGTGTCTTTGTTCCCGTTGGTTTCGAAGAATATCTTTATTTCTGCCTTCCTTTCATTGTTTATCCAGTCAACATTCAAGAGCCAGTTGTTCAGTTTCCGTGAAGCTGTGCGGTTCTGAGTTAGTTTCTGAATTCTGAGTTCTAACTTGATTGCACTGTGGTCTGAGAGACAGTTCGTTATGATTTCTGTTCTTTTGCATTTGCTGAGGAGTGATTTACTTCCAATTATGTGGTCAATTTTAGAGTAGGTGTGATGTGGTGCTGAGAAGAATGTATATTCTGTGATTTGGGGTGGAGATTTCTGTAAATGTCTATTAGGTTTGCTTGTTCCAGGTCTGAGTTCAAGTCCTGGATATCCTTGTTAATTTTCTGTCTGGTTGATCTGTCTAATATTGACAGTGGAGTGTTAAAGTCTCCCACTATTATTGTGTGGGAGTCTAAGTCTCTTTGTAAGTCATTAAGAACTTGCTTTATGTGTCTGGGTGCTACTGTATGGGGTGTGTATATATTTAGGATCGTTAGCTCTTCTTGTTGTATCGATCCTTTTACCATTATGTAGTGTCCTTCTTTGTCTCTTTTGATCTTTGTTGCTTTAAAGTCTATTTTATCAGAGACGAGAATTGCACCTCCTGCTTTTTTTTTGCTCTCCATTTGCTTGGTAAATCTTCCTCCATCCCTTTATTTTGAGTTTTTGTGTATCCTTGCATGTGAGATGGGTTTCCTGGATATAGCACACCAGTGGGTTTTGACTTTTTGTCCAATTTGCCAGTCTATGTCTTTTGATTAGTGCATTTAGTCCATTTACATTTAGGGTTAATATTGTTATGTGTGAATTTGATCCTGACATTTTGATGCTGGCTGGCTGTTTTGCCTGTTAGTTGATGCAGTTTCTTCATTGTGTTGATGCTCTTTACCATTTGGTATGTTTTTGGAGTGGCTGGTACTGGTTGTTCCTTTCTATGTTTAGTACCTCTTCCAGAAGCTCTTGTAAAGCAGGCCTGGGTGTGATGAAATCTGAGCACTTGCTTGTTTGTAAAGGATTTTATTTTTCCTTCATTTATGAATCTTAGTTTAGCTGGATATGAAATTCTGGGTTGAAAGTTCTTTTCTTTAAGGATGTTGAATATTGGCCCCGACTCTCTTCTGGCTTGTAGGGTTTCTGCTGAGAGATCTGCTGTGAGTCTGATGGGCTTCCCTTGGTGGGTAACCCGACCTTTCTCTCTGGCTGCCCTTAACATTTTCTCCTTCATTTCAATCCTGGTGAATCTGACGATTATGTGCCTTGGTGTTGCTCTTCTTGAGGAATATCTTTGTGGTGTTCTCTGTATTTCCTGGACTTGAATGTTGGCCTGCATTGCTAGGTTGGGCAAGTTTTCCTGGATAATATCCTGAAGAGTGTTTTCCAGCTTGGATTCATTCTCTCTGTCACATTCAGGTACCCCTATCAAATGTAGATTAGGTCTTTTCACATAGTCCCATATTTCTTGGAGAATTTATTCATTCCTTTTTACCCTTTTTCTCTAATCTTGCCTTCTCATTTTATTTCATTGAGTTGATCTTCGACCTCTGATATTCTTTCTTCTGCTTGGTCAATTCAACTGTTGAAACTTGTGTATGCTTCGTGAAGTTCTCGTGTTTTTTAGCTCCATCAATTCACTTATATTCCTCTCTAAGTATTTATTCTTGTTAGCATTTAATCAAATCTTTTTTCAAGGTTCTTAGTTTCTTTGCATTGGGTTAGAACACGTTCTTTTAGCTCAGAGAAGTTTCTTATTACCCACCTTCTGAAGCCTGGTTCTGTCAATTCATCACACTCATTCTCCATCCAGCCTTGTTCCCTTGCTGGTGAGGAGTTGTGATCCCTTGTAGGAGGAGAGGTGTTCTGGTTTCAGGTGTTTTCATCCTTTTTGTCCTGGTTTCTTCCCATTTTTGTGGATTTGCCCACCTGTTGTCTCTGTAGTTGCTGACTTTCAGATTGGATCTCTGAGTGGATGTCCAGTTTGTTGATGATGAAGTTATTTCTTTCTGTTTCTTAGTTTTCCTTCTACCAGTCAGGCCCCTCTGCTGTAGGACTGCTGAGGTCCACTCCAGACCCTGCTTGCCTGGGGATCACCTGCAGTGGCTGTAGAACAGTAAGGATTGCTGCCAGTTTCTTCTTCTGCTATCTTTGTCACAGAAGGATGTCCGCTAGATGTCAGTCTGAGCTCTACTTTATGAGGTGACTCTGGATATATGGGGCTCTGGGAGCTGCTTGAGGAGACAGTCTGTCCTTTATAGGAGCTCAAGTGCTGAGCTGTGAGCTCCATTGTTCATTCAGAATTGCTGGGCAGGTACATTTAAGTCTGCTGCAGCAGAACTCATAAACCCCCCTTTTTAAAATTTCCCCAGGTGCTCTGTCCTGGGGAGTTAGGGATTTATTTATGAATTTCTGTTGTGCTGCTGCCTTTTTTCAGGGTTGTGCTGCCCAGTGAGGAGGCAGCCTACTCACTGTTTGCCTGCAGATGCTTTGCTGAGCTGCTGTGGGCTATGCCCTACTGCCGTGTGAACTTCCCTGCTGTCCTGTTTATATGGGTATAGTTAGAACTGTGTCGGCAATGGCTGTCCCCCTCTGTAGTGGCAGACTCTCTCTGTAATGGTGGGCTGCCTCGGCAATGGTGGTCTACCTCCGTAGTTGTGGACTGCCTCCGTAATGGCGGACACCCCTCCCCCACAAAGCTGGACCATTCTGGGTTCAGCTGTGCTTGCTGTGAAACTCTCAATCCAGAGTGTTTCGGATTGCTGTTTTTTTTTGTGGGGGTGGGTCCAGCCGAGCCTGATCACGTTGCTCCCTGCCTCAGAGCCTTTTTTTTTTTTAAGTTGAACGGGCAACTCTGTCTCCCAGGTGTTCCAGTTGCCTGTTGAAAAGGCACTGGGATCTGTGTGATTTCCCATGCAGTGACTCACTGCACTGGCTGAAACAGCCACGCTGAGATTTGTGGTGCTTTTTTGCCCGGGAATCTCCTGGCCTGGCTCCCTGTTTTAGTCCCTCTTTTTTTATCAGTTTAATGGGCAACTCTGTCTCCGAGGAGCTCCAATCACCAGCTAAAATGGCACCTAGACCAGTGTATTTTGTGCAGAGAACCGCCACGCCAGCCAAAACAGCTGCGCTGGTGACCTGCGGGGCTCCTCTGCCTGGGAATCTCCTGGTCTGTGGGTAATAAAAATCCACCTGGAAATGCGGCATCCACTCACCCTCTGCCCTTTCGCTGGGAGCTGCAATCCTGAGCTGGTCCTAATTGGCCATCTTGGATCCATCCCTGGATTTCATCTTATGTAAATTAACAGCTTATCTTCACAGGTATGGGACGAAGACAGGACTAGGAGTCATCCCTCTGCTCACTTGAGACAAATGCATATTTTGCTCATTAACTCTTCTATGTTTATCTTATCTTACATAAAAATGAAAGTTCACTGAGCATGAGATGAATGCATATTTGTTCCTTTATCCCCTCCTTTCACATATAAGATGTGGATTCAGTGAATGTTCATCAAAACCTCAAAAGAATGTAACTGTTTGCCCCTTTTCTCTACCTCCCCTTTTCCTTTCCTCTTTCCCTTACTGCCTACTTTTTTCCCTTTAAATATTGAAGTCCTCAAACCCTCTCTAGGAAAAGCACAGATCACAAATTTTCCTGTGATTTGTGTTCCTTTTCCCCAGGTACATTCTCAATGGCAGCAAAATAAACCCCTAAATTGATGGAGATTTGCCTCAGTCATATTCTTTGGTTTATATTTCCTAGTAACTCAATTCACTGTTTTCAATTTAACAGGCTAAAAGAGATGCTAAGAGAATGTCCTCAAAAGAAGTCACCATTAATGTAACAGACAGCATCCAACATATGGACAAAAGTCGAAGAATCACAAAGAACTGTGTCAACTAGCAGAGAGTGCAAGCAGAAGGGCAGCTGGACTTCTTCAGTGTCCTTCACAGTACTACATCCCATCAAAGAACCTTGAAGAAGTGTCTTCCCCTTGCTGCACATGAATGCTACTGAGTCCCTGGCAAGACTGTCTTACCTGGCAGCAAAGTGCTACCTGATTTGTGGGACCTTCTGAGCCTCCTACTCATCATATAAATGTATTGGTACAGTGCTCGCCTATGTTAATAAACTGCAAATGTGCAGTTCAGTTTGCCTCTCTGCAACTCCTGTAATAGGGTCTGGTGTAAAAGTAGTGAGTTAAAGCTACAGGTCAGTTTGTGAAACAGAAAAGTAGGAATGCTTAAAGAGTCACACCTCAGTGCTGAACTCTCCTGGCGATGATAGTGTGTTCTGTTTCAGGCAAACTTATTCTTTCCTTCTTTCATTTTAAATATTATCATTACAAATCTTATCAGGTTCACTTAAAAGCTGGCTTTCATCCAACTCTAAACCCACATATTGAAGGTACAGGAAAACTCCTTGTTATCCTTGTTTCCTTAGGTTGGTATGAGACAGATCAGATCCAGTTTCCCATGCACCAACCCACTGCCCATGGCATGTCTTTGGGAGGTGTCTGTGAAGCAGTCATACCTGTTTCTCATCTGCCTGGAAAGTCCTTAATGTCACCATGCTTGTGGCCAATGTATCCAAATAAGGACACCCCTGAGGGCTCAGCCAGACATTGCAATTTTTCATAGCTTTCCAGTTCCCTTTGCTTGTCTTCTTGAATGCCTTCCCTCTCCATTGGGGTCATTTGCAATTGTGACTCAAAGACTGAATACTGAGTAGGAGAGGGAGATGATTCAGAGACATGTGGCAGCATGCATGGCTTCCCCTTGGCCTCTCTGTACACAGCTCCAGGTCTGTCATTTTGGCATCTGCAAAGGAATCACTTTAGAAAGCCAGCACCTGGTTTATGTGTATTTACTCTGACATTAGATTGATGTGCACTGCATTAGAAATGAGGCTGACACAGAAAAAGGATGTTTTGATAGGAATAGTTTTCTCATATGTCTTGAAACATGTTCATCTAGAAGGATTTTCCTGCAAAGTAATGTAGCATGATTTTTCAAGGACTGTTAACATGCCTGGGATTGGGAAAGATAGGACTAAAATTGTACCAAACTATACCAATAAATTCCATATTTAGCAGAAATAGGCAGCCTAATGGTGTTATATTTATATAACATAGTCCAGAGAACTGATATGCAGGTCAAAGGTCAGGTACTCAACCTCCTTATCTGCTAACTCTGTTATTCTTCAAACCCAAATGGTTAGTGTCATTGTTCCTTCTTTCCTTCCATTGGCAGACTGTATATTTATTTACTAAATATTGAATGTCCATCCTGTGCCAGGTACTATGCAGATGTTGACAGATTTGGGGTCTTGTTAGTCATGACTGTCTATCCTGAATCCAACAGTGACTTCATAACCAGGAGACTGAATTAGACCCTAAGATATCTTGTGTGTTGCAAATTGCTCTGCAATGAAATCTTTTATATCCAGGGTAGGTTTGTGTCTTAACCAGGCGTTCTAATCACTGTACAAGACTCTATCATACACAAAATTATAGTTTTTCTAAACCTTTACCATTTTGTGATTCTTTGAGAAAGGGCTTTTAGGGAACTTCATGTTCTAAAAAATGTTTTTAATAATAATAAAATAAAAGCAAAACCTGTGACTCATATTTCCCCACTGGCATTACTCAGCAGGAGCCCCCAGCTGCTGAAGGTTGGCAGTGACCCTGCAACTTCAAGGGCTCTTTCTCCCAGGGGATGTGCTTTGTGGGTTCTCTTTACTGCTTTGTTTCTACATCCATTCACTGCTGCATGTTGTTTGGAATTTATCACCTTAAAAAAGTGTCTCTGTTTTATATAGAAACACTTTCTCACTTCCAGGGGAAAAGGAAATGCAGGACATTTAATCCGGCCTTCCCCAGAACAATCTGGATTTCACAGAGACAGCAACCAGAAGTTAAACCATGTGACTAAAAATGCATCTGGCTACTTTCTCAAGTGTGTATGAGACAGAAACTGATTCTTACTATCCTATTAGGATGACACTTTTCATTGCAAAGTTTGTGTCAATAAAGTCGCTAATTTTAAACATATATGGGCAGTTACAGAGAATCTTTACTGGAACCTTAAATTTGTATGCAGAGCTGTTTAGACTATTTTTTTCTTTTTAAACAAAGACCTTTTACATAACTAATCCCTGTGAATCCTCCAAAAAGCCTTGTGAAGTAGGTAAGGAGAATGTTATTAGCGCCAATTTACACTTATAGAAATATTTGTAGTCCAGTCAATTAGTAAGTGATGGTACAGAGATTCAAGTGGGGGAATCCTGTCTGCAAAGTCAATTCTTTTCCTACCACCACGTGTTGCCATCATGGCAAGAAGGTCTGGTGTGACTGGGAGAAGAGGCTATTTAGAGGGGAATTGTCATGGAGCCTCAGACTGGGCTAAGCCCAAGTCTAGGAGGGCAATTTGAGTGATTGGAGGGGGCTAGAGAGGACCAGAGAGAGGACTGAAGAGGGCTGGTAGCGAAGGCAGTGATTGGAAAGGGCCAGTGAGCTCTCGGGGAGTTTGGGTCTGGTTCAGGCTCACTTATATCTCCAGAGAGGGTGACCTATACCTGGTGTGTGAGGTCAGAACACTGAGAGGGACTTTATAATTCAGAGAAGATAGAAATTGCACCCCTTGGAATAACTGCTTAGACCTAAAGGTAAGGGATGCCAGGGTCCTCCCATGTTGCTGCCAATGCCCTGAACACTGCTTGGGTGTACAGGTAATAGACTGTAGTCCCCTCACCCTTTACCCACAGCCCACCTTCACAGTGCTTTCCACAACCTGCATCCACCTCCCGGGGTACCTGAACACAGGTACTCCTGTTTGCACTGCCTAAGTCCTGCTAACCTGCATCTGTTTACAATCCTCAGCAGCCAGACTTGTGGGCTGCCCCTTGTGACACTGAAGTGCATCCCACTCACATTTGCTGCTCTAAGCAGGGTTCACAACACTGGCAGCTCCTCTGCTGAAATCAGGTGACAGACCTGCTGTGTTTAGCTGTCGTGTTGTCAAAACCTAGGAATTTCACAAAAATAGCCACCTCTGGCAGAGACTCCTACTTTAGAATGCCAGTATCCATCCTTCCCTTCCTTAGTTGAGCACATGTCTACTTAAAACAAACATTACACTTTCCAGCCTCCCTTGCAGCTAGAAGTTGCTGCAGGATTAAGTTCTAGACAATGAAATGAAATAGAAGTGAGGCATAGCAGCTTCCAGGAAGTCAGGCCCTTTCTTTCCCCTTTTGCTTCCTGCTGTGCAGAATGAGGAGCTAATGGCTGGGGCTACATCAGTCTCTTGGGCCACAAAGTAAGTTCGAGAATGAAAGCCATGCCAAGATGAGCAACAAATTAGAAGAAGCTTGAGTCCCTAATTCCATTGAGCTTCATGAGTCTTGGACTATATGTCCCAAACTTCTTTTTGTGGGAAAGAAATATACTTTCCCTCATTTAAGTGCTGTTTCAAATCATTATTCACAGCCAAAACTAATTCTTTTTCAAGTTTGAGAAATTCAACAAAACTAATTCTGGTTTGTATGTATGTACTTTCACCTTCTTTTGAAAAATTGGAAGATTGCTTACCTTTGGGCCCTTGGCTGCTTGACCACATCTGGCTGGAGCTGATGAGTCTGCATTAGCTGGAGCTGGGGGCTCTTCAGATTGTGACAGTCCCTACCACTCATTGTGGCTTACACATGGTAACTTCCCCATTTCTGTTACCTGCCAGAACCCAGAGACATTTGAGCTTGTAACTCCTGCTCCACATTATGTTCCCAAACATACTATTTTTATGCTCTTTTCAGGAGTCATTGAGATATACAAGATCCTTTTCTCCTGTTTCACCAGTCTGGGAAGTGGCCAATCTCAGGAGAATTTTCTGAGCAAATTATGAATATTACCTAATATTTAAAATCTTGCATTCACTTGCTCATTGATTTAATCAAAATGTATATACTAAGATACTTCAATCTGCCAGAAGTTAGGATATGGTGAGAAATACAACAGATCTGGTCCCTACCCTCACAGAGCTGGCAAAATAGTAGAGGAAACAGACAATCGCAACATAAAGAAATAAGTTATTACAATAATTTAAGTTATTACAGTCCAGGGCTGTACCAGGAGACACTCCAACATTTAGGGAATTGGTGGTGGAGGAAGAGTCAGCAGAGGGTACTGAGAAGTGTTGAGGCAGTTAGAAAGAAAATGGAGAGCTCATTTACTAAAGCCAAGATTAAAAAAAAAAGTTTCAGGAAGGGAGATATGGTCAGTCATGGTGAATGCTACCAAAAGATTAAATCCCGTGAGAACAGAGATGTGACTCCAGCTAGCACCATGAAGTTGACTGGCGAGCTTAACAAGAACATTTCCAGCAGAGAGGTGGTCACAGAGCCAGACTACCGAGGGTGATGACTGGAGGGGTGGTGAGGGATTGGAGAGGATGGAAAACACCTGTCTTTTGAGAAATGTGGCTACGAAACAAAGCAAAAAGAGGCCAGGAACTGGAGAGAGAGATGGTTCAAGGAGTACTTGTAAAAAGTGGGACATACTAGAGTATGTTTCTCAACAATTGCAAGGATTCCTTAGAGTGAGGCTGAAGCTGGAAGGGTGGGGGCATTATTCACAGAGTAAAAAAGTCCTTGAGGAAGTGAGCAGAGAACAAACTTAGGGCACAGGTAACCACATTGAAATTGAAAACCTCTACATGATAAACATTCACATAAAGATGAATGATAGTCTATTAGAAGATATCTATAGCCCATGTATCAAACAGTTAGTATAGTGATATACATTAAAAAAATGAGAATTTCATAAGCAAAGACAAACGACCCTAGAGAAAATAATATGAACAGAAAGGAGGAAAGTTGAATGGCTAACAAAAATATAAAAAGATTCTCAGTGTCATCAGTAATTAGGCAAATTTGGGTTAAAAAAAAAGATGCCACTTTTGTACCTATCTGATTAGCAAAGTTTTTAAAATTTGATAATATCAGTGTTGGGAAGGGTGTATGAAAGAAGTAATGTCAGACACTGTTGATTTAAATGAAATTAGTGATACTATATAGGATGGTGTAGGGCGGACAAAGCTTTACCTCTACCTTTGTAGGAATCCCAGCAGGGCCTGAGAATTAGATTGACATAAAATAGACTAGCAGGAGAGAAACCTAAAGATTTATTTAATTTTTAAGTTTTATGTGACTTGAGAATCTTCATAAAGAAATGATGGCTCAAAGAAGTTGCAAAATCTCAATGCTTTCCTACTATGTCGAACAAAGAGAGGCGATTGTGAAAAAGTAAAATGTACAGGAAAGCTAAAGAAAGGTAAGAGTTGTTTCAACAGAATTCGATTGTCTGCAGAGAATTCTCTCTGTCTCTGGTGATAAAAATATCTCTTTCATCCTGGTACAGAGAGGGCATCTTTTATATGGGAGTTTAATATGCTTTCAGGAAAAAGGGGAGAAGTCAGAAAGTTCTGCTTTAAGAAGGGCATGTTGGCTCATACCTGTAATCCCAGTACTTTGGGAGGCTGAGGCAGGAGGATCACTTGAGGCCAGGAATTCAAGACCAGCTTGGGCAACATCACAAGACCCCACCACTACAAAACAAAAAACAAAAAAACAAACAAAAAAATTAGTCAGGCATGGTAGTGTGCACCTGTAGTCCCAGCTACTCCAGAGGCTGAGGCAGGAGGATCACTTGAGCCCAGGAGGTCAAGGCTACAGTAAGCCAAGGTAGTGCCACTGTACTCCAGCTCAGGAGACAGACTGAGACTTTGTCTCAAAAAAAATTCTGTTTCCACCTGCTTTTTAAAAATGCCTTTATCTCAAAATAACCCTTATGCCAAATGACATATTCTGGAGAGGCATATTCTGTCACTCTTCAATGTCAATTTAGTCAACTTATTAAAATTTAAAATGTGGACATTCTTTGGCCAAACAATTTCATCTTTAAATAAATACCTGTTAAGGGCTGAACCATGTCCCTGCCAAATTCCAACATGTTGAAGTCCTAACCCCCAATATCTGAGAATATGACTGACTGTATTTGTATATAGCATCTTTCAAGTGGTAATTAAGGTAAAATGAGGTCATCTGGATGGGCCATAATTCAGTATGACTGGTGTCCTTATAAGATTAGGGGATTAAGACAGGCACACACAGAGGGAAGACCATATGAAGACACAAGAGAAAATGGTCACCTACAAGCCAAAGAGAGGGTCTTCAGAAGAAACCAACTTTGCCTCAGACTTCCAGCCTCTAAGACTATGAGAAAATAAATTTTTGTTTTTCAAGCTCACTGGTCTGCAGTAGTTTGTTATGGCAATCCTAGCAATCTAATACAATACCCTAGAAAATATCTGCACACTTTCATGAGGCAGGTATTTGTGGGACAGGACTCAGAGTTTCAGAGCTCGATTCAAAGGAATCAGAATGACAGAGGACAAAAGAGCACAGGACTACAGCAGAGACTACTGGCATCCACCTTTCCTTCAACCCCTTTACCACACCCATGCTAACTTCCAGCTGTAGCACCTGCTCTCCTTTGCCTGAAGTCTTTATCTCACCACTCCATGGCAGGAGTTGCCAGGACATTGGCGCTACTGATGCTCATTCACTTCTCTCCCCATTCCAGCACCAGTCAGTCAATGAGTGATGAGAGCTCCCTCAACCCTGGGTGGGGTAATGCTGAGATAAGTATTTTATACAAGCTCCCAGAGTTTTCTCAGCTGTATTAAGTTCCAGTTACCCAGCCGGTAGCTAGTTTAATAATGCACTCCTTTACTGGATGCTTCCTCGATCAATCTCCAGGGTAGAATCATTATTGTAGTTGCAGGCTTCTATATAAACAGCATCCTCTCTCTTTCCTTTCTTTTTTATTACCATAGTCAAGCATCATCGTCTCCACGACTTGGTTTCCACCAGTAGATGGTCCTCCACCTTCTCACTAGCATGAGATATACATCCCACTGCCACTGGTCTATAAATGTTCTGTTTATGTATATTGTATCACAATAAAACATGTCGAGACCAATAAATAAGTAAATAAAT